TTTTTGTTTGTTCTTTGATATTCACCATCACTGTTTTCCTTTTTTTTTTTTCAAATATTATAACATTTTTTAAAGTGATGTTCTTTATTTGTAATTTAATATTTAGGTTCTATTCTCGAGATGGCCGAATCTAGTGATAATCCCCAAGCTCCGCCTAAATATCCTTCTAATGATCCACAATGGAAATATGTTTGGATGGTTAAAGACGATTGTAGAAATGATTTAAAGTGTAAATTTTGTGGGACTATTACAAAAGGGGGCATTAGTCGTGCCAAGTATCATATTGCCGGAGGTAGTACTAGTGTGAAGGTTTGTACTAAAGCTCCACCTTCGGTAGTGGAAGAAATAAAAAGCTACAAGTTGAATAAAGCGGCAACGGTGGCAAAAAAAAAATAATTTTAAGATATCCGTACCAACTTATGGGATTCAACATGAAGATCACGGAGAGGCTCCTACACCTCCAAGTTCAATGTCAATGACAATGACTATGGACTCGCAAAAGAGGCCGAGGCAAACGGGGCCGATGGATATGTATTTGACCGCGGACAAGGGAAAACAAACAACCATTAATGAGGCATGGAAAAAAGAGTTTAGAGTGAAAGTATGCATGGCCATTTCCGAGTGGATGTATGATGCGGCCATCCCTTTTAATGCTCTTACTTATCCAAGCTTTCAAAACATGTTAAATCATATCGGCCAATATGGTTTGGGCCTTCAAGGACCTAGTATGTATGAAGCGAGGGTGCCTTTCCTTAGTAAAGCGGTGGAGAAAGTGGATAATGATTATATCAAACTATGTAAGGAAGAGTGGGCAAAATACGGTTGCACCTTGATGTGTGATGGTTGGACGGATAAGAGGCAAAGAACTTTGATCAATTTCTTGGTGAATTCTCCAGAGGCACGGTTTTTCTTGAGTCCATTGATGCTTCCTCATATGCGAAGACGGGAAGGAAGATGTTTGAGCTTATTGATAAATTTGTGGAGCGTATTGGTGAATCAAATGTTATCCAAGTTGTTACGGATAATGCTAGTGCAATGGTGCTTGCCGGTGAGTTATTACCTATTAAATTACGTGTTATTTAATTCATTTTGATTGTTTGGTTTCATGTCCCATCATTGTTAAATTGTTGAATTTTCTCTTGTAGGAAAATTGCTACAAGACAAACGGCCTCATTTGTTTTGGACTCCATGTGCGGCGCATTGTGTGGATTTGATTTTGGAGGATATAGGCAAGTTGCCTTATATCAAAGACACATTGAAGAAGGCCATGAGTGTGAATGCCTATGTTTATGTCCATTCGGGGGTGGTGAATACGTTGAGACATTTCACCGGAGAGAAGGAACTTGTTCGAGCTGGTGTCACAAGGTTTGCTACGGCCTTTCTCACACTTGAAAGAATGCAAATATTGAAGGAGAAATTGAGAGACATGTTCCGGTCAAGACAATGGGAAGAGAGTCAATGGAAGAAAGAAGTCGGTGGGGTGAAAATTACCAAAATCATTTTTTCAATTCGATTTTGGAATAATGTCTTGAGAATTCTAAAAATTTTCGGCCCTTTAGTTCATGTGTTAAGAATGGTGGACGGAGAAAAAAGGCCCACAATGGGCTACATTTATGAAGCCATGGACAAGGCAAAGGAAGCGATCAGGGATGCTTTTGATGGGAAAGAAGACAAGTATAAGGATGCATGGAAAATCATTGATAAGAGATGAGATTGTCAACTCCATAAGCCCTTACACGCCGCCGCTCATTATTTGAATCCACAATTTCTTTCTACCTATACCTCATTAAATATTACGGATGAGGTTGGGGGTGGATTTATTAAATGCGTGGAGAAATTGGTCCCGGACTTTAAGGAGCAAGAAAAGGTCTCAATTCAAGTTGGATTTTATTTAAGGTCCGAAGGGAGTTTCGGGACGGGATTGGCGGTTAGACAACGGTCGACGATATCTCCGGCGCGGAGTGGTGGCGCACCCATGGGACACAAACTCCGGAATTGAGAATTTTTGCCATCAAAGTGTTAAGTCTCACGTGTAGTGCTTCGGGATGCGAGCGCAATTGGAGCATTTTTGAGCATGTAAGTATTTCATAAATTATTTTTTAATAAATTGTTCAAATGGAAATTAATGACTTGTTTTTTTTCTGTCTTACATTTTTAGGTTCATAGCAAAAAACGGAATAGGCTTGATAAAAAACGATTGAATGATTTGGTGTATGTGAAATATAATCGTGCTTTGAGACTTCGATATGATGGTCGTGATAGGATTGATCCTATTTTGTTGAATGAAATTAAAGAGTCTAATGAATGGTTGCTTGGCAAAATGGAAGGAGAAAGTGATGGTGATGATGATGATTTGGTGTTTGAGGGAGAAGACTTGACTTGGGATGCGGTTGCTAAGGCTAGTGGCGCGGAGGAGCCTACGTATCGAACTAGGGAAAAAGCTCAAAGTTCCAAGTCCAAAGAGGTTGATAAGGGAAAGGGGAAAGTAATAGACTTGGAAAAGAGAAAGTCAATTTTCTCCCGCAAAGGCTCAAGTCTAAGACTAATTGATGAAGATGAAGAATTTGTAGAAGATGACTTGGAGTCGCTTGAGGAAGAAATTGAAGAGCAAGGATTCAATGAAAATGAAAAATTTAATTTTGAGGAGGAAGAGGAAGAGGATGAGGATGACGATGAAGAAGACGAAGAATGATGGATGTTGTCATTTTCTTGTTTCTTATTGCTTGTCTCTTATTGCTTATTTCTACTACTTAACTATGTGGGTGCCAAACTTAAAACTTTATGTATTATTTCTATGTGTTTGTGCTATGAACTTGTTGCTTATTTCTAGTATTTAACTATGTGTGTGCCAATTTCTATGTGTGTTTGTGATATGAACTTATGTTTCATTTGTGTTCTTGCCTTTTTTGAAGATATTTGATGTTATTTTTATCATTTTTGAACATGAATATATAAGTGCACAATCTATAATATTGTTTTGCTACATTTTGGTGACATGTGTAGCCGAGGCCTCGCCATGGCGATTCGCCTCGCCTCGTGGCGAGGCCAAGGGCCAATCGCCTCGCCTCGCCTTTCGCCATTTACAAACTGCCGCCAAATCTTCAAGACGTGGACAACTACATCTAAATCGAGATCATGAGTGGGGTAGTTCTGCTCGTGAGGCTTCAACTGCCTCGAAACATAGGCTACGACTTTCCCTTGCTGCATAAGGACACATTCCAAGCCCATCTTCGAAACATCACTATAAATCGTGAACTCCAAAGTAGGGTCGGATATCGACAAGACTGGTGCGGTAGTAAGTCTCCCTTTCAGCTCCTGGAAACTATTCTCGCACTCCTGACTCCATTCAAACCTCACGGCCTTCTTCGTAAGGTTGGTTAGTGGCTGGGCTATCTTCGAGAATCCCTCGATAAACCTCCAGTAGTATCTTGCTGACCCTAGGAAACTACGAACATCATTGGCACTTCTTGGTGTATCCCACTTGCTCACCGCCTCGATCTTGTCGGGATCCACCTCAATGCCTCTAGCCATCACAATGTGGCAAGGAATGCCACACGATCCAGCCATAACTCGCACTTAGCATAAAGCTTCTCGCGGCGAAGAGTCTCCAGCACAATCTTTAGATGCTCCTTGTGCTGGTCGATGTCCCGTGAATAAACCAAGATGTCGTCGATGAACACGATAACAAACTGGTCCAAATAAGGATGGAAGACCGTATTCATAAGTTCCATAAACACCGCCGGGGCATTGCTGAGTCCGAACGGCATCACCACAAACTCATAGTGGTCACATATGGTACGAAACGCGGTCTTAGAAATATCCGACTCCCGGATCTTCAACTGATGATATCCAGACCTCAAATCGATCTTCGAAAAGATGCTGGCTCCCCTCAGCTGGTCGAAGAGATCCTCGATGCGAGGAAGGGGTACTTGTTCTTAACCGTAAGGTGATTAAGCTCACGGTAGTCGATACACATGCGCATGGTTCCGTCCTTCTTCTTCACGAATAGAACAGGCGCACCCCAAGGAGAAACACTAGGCCGAATAAAACCGAGTTTGAGCAATTCCTAGATTTGGGCCTTGAGCTCTTAAAGTTTCTTCGGCGCCATACGGTAGGGGGTTTTAGAAACGGGACCAGCTCCTGGTACTAAGTCAATGATGAACACGACTTGACGATCAGGCGGTCCTCCGGGAAGTTCATCGGGAAAAATGTCGAGGTATTCGCAAACAATGGAGACTCTCCGGGGTTCGCTCGTCAACATCATCGGACACTATAGATACGAGATAGCCTTGACAGCTACCCTTAAAGGGGCTCTTCTTAGCTTGAATAGATGAGATGACTCTAGGCACAGTCCTCAACTTTACCGTAAAGAACACAACGGGTTGATCACGATCGAGAAAGAGAGTGACCTCACGCTCCTGGCACCGGATGTCGGCTCGAAACGAGTGAGCCAGTCCATGCCCGAGATCACGTCGAAGTCTCGCATTTCGATGACATAAGTGTCGGCATCCAGAACTCGTCCACCGATGTTAACATGAAGATCACGAACCAAGGAATCAGAGATAATAATTTTTCCCGAGGCTAGGCTAACCTCGAGAGGATCGACTTTACACACATTGCTAACAGACAGTGCCTAAGAGATAAATGAATGGGTTGCTCCAGTGTCACATAGTGCAAAAACAGGTATATTGGATATCAAAAGCATCCCGGACATGGTACCTGCGTTGTTGGCTGCCTCATCGTGGGTGATAGTGTAGAGACGGGCTTGGCTTCCCATCCTCTGCTGGTAAGGTGGGGGGCTGTCGGGGTTGCTGCTGCTGACGAGGTGGCGGTGGGGGAAGTTATTGCTGATGCTGCTGGGGGAAGGGCTGCTGCTGCCTCTTAGGCTTGGGGCAGACATTAGAGTAGTGGTCCGGGCGATAGCAGTTGAAACAAACGCGCTGGCCTGCTAAGCACTCACTGGTATGCGACTTGCCGCATTTAGGACATCTCGGAGGTTGACCCGGATTGGGTCGGTCGTCACGCCTCTCAAAGTTCTTCTTTTCCTTCTTCTTGTTCTGATGGTCACTCTTCCTCTTGCCAGAGCTAGAGGATGGGGGAGCTGAAGCGTAGGGAACAGGATACTGGTAAGCCGTTTGAGGAATGATCGACGGCTGATAGGATAACGGGGAATGACAAGTGGTACAACTTGGATAGGCTGAGCAGCATGGTAGTACGAGGGAACTGACGCTATAGGAATGAGACAGCTCTCCACTTTCTGTGCCTGACTCACAGTGTCAGCATAGGACATCAAACCGTGACTCTGTACCAGCTCACGGATCCTCTGGTTCAACCCCTTCAGAAATTTTTGGGCTTTCTTCTCATCAGTGTTTGTTCACAGTGTCACCGGCAAAGATGCTCATCTTGGTGAAAGTGCGTATGTACTCATCTACGCTAGAGTTGCCCTGCTGTAGATGATAGAAGTCATGCTCCATATGGTCACAAAAGCTCTGCGGGAGGAACTTGCCTCGGAGCATCACCTTCATTTGATCCCAGGTGAGAGCGTTAAGCTCAGCCTCTGGCCTCCGAGCTCAGTGGTCAATCCATCAGTCGGATGCATCCGCCTTCATTTGGAAAGCGGCGAGAGATACGCGCTGTGGAGAGGGAGAAACAAAGATCTTGTCCAGCTCCTTCATCCATTCTAGAAGTGCTGCATGACATACTTTTAAGCAGTGCTGCATGACGAAGACGAGTGGTCAATAAACAAGGTCTAAACGCATAATCAAGTTATTCACATATAAACCAGTCTATAGAAATGTGAATAACTTGATTATATGTGAATAACTTGATTATGTGTTTAGACCTTGTGTATTGACCACTCGTTTTCGTCATGGCGCACTGCTTAAATGTATGTTTTATATAAGTATCAATGAAAATACTTATAATGTGAAATGTGAATTTTGTATTTTCTTCATCAGTAGCAATGAAACTACTTGTGATATAATTTGTTGATATGTTGGGGCTTAGGATCTATCCACCTTGGTTTAAATTGAACTCTATTGTTTCAAGCCGAACTCTAGATTTCCTTTTTTTTTTTTATTATTGTGCTAAATTTTTTGGCCTATTCGATGTAGAATTATGGCTAATAGCAACGCCCGCAATAACCGACAGCTATCCCAGCCCCCATCTCCGCCTCACCAGCAGGCCCCTCCGAACATGGACTTTTCGAGGCTCTTAGTCCAATTCCAGGGCATGCACGTGCCCACTTTTTCGGGGACCGAGAACCCCACTGCGTGCTAGAATGGATGAAGGAGCTGGACAAGATCTTTGTTGTACTCCCTCCCCAGGATAAACAACGCGTATCTCTCGCCGCTTTCCAAATGAAGGCGGATGCATCCGATTGGTGGATTGACCACTGGGTTCGGAGGCCAGAGGCTGAGCTTAACGCTCTCACCTGGGATCAAATGAAGGTAATGGTCCGAGGCAAGTTCCTTCTGCAGAGCTTTTGTGACCGGATGGAGCATGACTTCTATTATCTGCAGCATGTCAACTCTAGCGTAAATGAACACATACGCACTTTCACCAAGATGAGCATCTTTGCCGGTGACACTGTGAACACTGATGAGAAGAAGGCCCGAAAATTTCTGAAGGGGCTAAACCAGAGGATCCGTGAGCTGGTAGGGAGTCACAGTTTGATGTCCTATGCTGACATTGTGAGTCAGGCACAAGAAGTGGAGAGCTGTCTCATTCCTATAGCGTCAGTTCCCTCGTACTACCATATTGCTCAGCCTGTTCAGGCTGTACCACCTATCATTCCCTCGTTATCCTATCAGCCGGCGATCATTCCTCAGACGGCTTATCAGTATCCTGTTCCATATGCTTCAACTCCCCCATCTTCTAGCTCTGGCAAGAGGAAGAGTGATCATCAGAACAAGAAAAAAGGAAAGAAGAGGAACTTTGAGAGGCGTGACGACCGATCCAATCCGGTCAACCTCCGAGATGTCCTAAATGCGGCAAGTCGCATACCGGTGAGTACTTAGCAGGCCAGCGCGTTTGTTTCAACTGTTATCGCCCCGACCACTACTCCAATGTCTACCCCGAGTCTAAGAGGCAGCAGCCCTTCCCTTCCCCCAGCAGTAACTTCCCCCACCGTCACCTCAACAGCCCCCACCTTACCAGCAGAGGACGGGAAGCCAGGCCCGTGTCTATACTATCACCCACGACAAGGCAGCCAACAACGCAGGTACCATGTCCGGGATGCTTTCAATATCCAATATACTTGTTTTTGCATTATGTGACACTGGAGCAACCCATTCATTTATCTCTTCCCAATGCCTTGAGGCACTGTGTGTAAAGTCGATTCTCTCGAGGTTAGCCTAGCTTCGGGAAAAATTATTATCTTTGATTCCTTGGTTCCTGATCTTCATGTTAATATCGGTGGACGAGTTCTGGATGCCGACACTTATGTCATCGAAATGCGAGACTTCGACGTGATCTCGGGCACGGACTGGCTCACTCGTTATCGAGCCGACATCTGGTGCCAGAAGCGTGAGGCCACTCTCTTTCCCGATCCTGATCAACCTGTTGTTTTCTTTGCGATGAAGTCGAGGGTTGTGCCTCGAGTCATCTCATCTATTTAAGCTAGGAAGAGCCTTTCTAAGGGTAGCTGTCAAGGCTATCTCGTACCTATGATGTCCGATGATGTTGACGAGTGAACCCCAGAGAGTCCATTGTTTGCGAATACCACGACGTTTTTCCCGATGAACTGTCCGGAGGATCGCCCGATCGTCAAGTTGAGTTCACCATTGACTTAGTACCCTGGTCCCGTTTCTAAAGCCCCCTACCGTATGGCGCCGAAGGGACTTCAAGAGCTTAAGGCCCAAATCTAGGAATTGCTCAAACTCTATTTTATTCGGCCGAGTGTTTCTCCTTAGGGTGTGCCTGTTCTATTTGTGAAGAAGGACGGAACCATGCGCATGTGTATCGACTATCGTGAGTTTAATCACCTTATGGTTAAGAACAAGTACCCCCTTCCTCGCATCGAGGATCTTTTCGACCAGCTGAGGGGAGCCAACGTCTTTTCGAAGATCGATTTGAGGTCTGGCTATCATCAGTTGAAGATCTGGGACTCAGATATTTCTAAGACCACGTTCCGTACCAGATATGGCCACTATGAGTTTGTGGTGATGTCGTTCGGATTCAGCAATGTCCCGACGGTGTTTATGGACCTTATGAATAGGGTCTTCCATCATGATCTGGACCAGTTTGTTATCGTGTTCATCGACGACATCCTAGTTTATTCATGGGACATCGACCACCACAAGGAGAATCCTCTGAGGATTGTGCTGGAGGCTCTTCGCCGCGAGAAGCTTTATGCTAAGTGCTAGTTCTGGCTGGATCGTTGGCCACATTGTGACGACTGGAGGCATTGAGGTGGATCCCGACAAGATCGAGGCGGTGAGCAAGTGGGATACACCAAGAAGTGCCAGTGATGTTCTTAGTTTCCTAAGATACTACTGGAGGTTTATCGAGGGCTTCTCGAAGATAGCTCAGCCACTAACCAACTTTACGAAGAAGGCCGTGAGGTTTGAATGGAGTCAGGATTGCGAGAATAGTTTCTAGGAGCTGAAAGAGAGACTTACTACCCCACCAGTCTTGTCGATATCCGACCCTACTTTGGAGTTCACGATTTATAGTGATGCTTCGAAGTTGGCTTTGGAATGTGTCTTTATGCAGCAGGGGAAAGTCGTAGCCTATGCTTCAAGGTAGCTGAAGCCTCACGAGCAGAACTAGACATGTTTATGGGCCGAACCGGCCTGCGAACCGACTAGTGAACCGGTCCCGAATCGGCCCTGAACCAGTCTCCTAGGGGCCGGTTCGTTGAATCGGACCATAGGGTCGCAGTTCGGTTAAGGTTCATTATTTTTTTTTTATCCCGGCGGGCCGGGCCGGATCGGCGGGTTGAAAGGCGGGTGACAGTGTATTTTTTAGCGGGCCGCACTGGCCTGGAACCGGCCAAAAACCGGCGGGTCCGTGAATCGGCGGTTCAGGGCCGGTCCAAGCCTGCGACCCTTAGAAAATGCGGGCGATCAAGGGTCATGAAGTTGCGACCCGCGGACCTGGCGGGCCGGGCCGGCCCGTGACCCGGCTCGTGGACTGGCCACCCCTAAGCAGAACTACCTCACTCATGATCTCGAGTTAGCTGCAGTTGTCCACGCCTTGAAGATTTGGCGGCACTACCTCTATGGAGGCAAGTGTGAGATTTTCACCGATCATAAGAGCTTGAAGTATATCTTTACTTAGAAGGAGCTCAATAGGCGCCAAAGAAGATGGCTAAAGTTGGTCAAGGACTATGATTGCACCATTAGCTACCATCTTGGGAAAGCTAATGTGGTTGTTGACGCTTTGAGTCGGAAGAGTCATGGCCAGCTGTCTTGCCTATTCACCGGGCAAGATGTCCTAGTTCGGGAGTTAGAGGCAGTGGAGTCGATTTCGACTGCCGGTGGTATGTTGGCCGACTTGGTTGTGGGATCGACTCTTCATGAGAGGATAGTCGCCGAGCAGCCGAACGATCGTTTTCTGTGCGGGGAAGGTAGAGAGTACCCAAAGCGGACAATATCTTACTACGGGTTAAGATGCTGGGCTGTTACAGTTTGAATCTTCTTCTCCTTCTTCTTGTATGTGTGTGTGTGTCACTGTTCCTTGTTGTGCTATATTTTAATAGTTTACTGAAATTGGTGTATATATGTCATGCAGCTGCGTATAAACAAGCAGATGGTAAAAAGATTGATAACAAGAGGGTGCTTGTGGATGTTGAACGTGGTAGAACTGTTCCGAACTGGCGACCCCGCAGGCTTGGTGGTGGTCTTGGAACATCGCGGTTTGGCTACGAAGAAGTTAACCAGAAGCAGTTAGGGAGGTAATTATGCTGATACTTTCTGTGCATCTTGCACAAATCAGTCCTGGGCATTCTATATATGTTTTTACTAGTAATTGGATGAGTAAAGAGGGGTAACAGATGGTGCTAAGCAGAGTTGCAATGGAATTTAACTTTTTTGATTCGATTCAGGGTTGCAATGGAATTTAACTTTTTTGATTCGATTTGTGATTTGAATTCGGTATTCTTGAAATTTGAATTTGAATTAAAAATTAAGAATAGTATTTGGTATTCGAAAGTTATACAAGACTCAAGAATGTGCACATTCGATTTGAAATTAAAGAATATTTGATTTGTAATTCGTTAATAACAATTATATACAATTTAATATATTATATATAATATAAATTTTATTCATTTAATATATTAATAAATATATATTAAATACAGAAATAATATATAAATATTTATGTATATAATATATTTAAATATTTATGTATATAATATATTTATATATTAATATATAATTTATGTGTTTATAAATAAATTTTGAAATCGAATTGGATATATTCTATAATCTTAAATGAATTGAATGCCAGAAATTGAATTTTATAGTACATCGATTACAAATATGAATACTTGAATATTTTCACGTACCCTAATAGAATGTTTGAGTATTTGTTTTGATTCAATTCGTTTCCAACCCTGATGCTAAGTGTGTTCTTTGAGATATTTTGGAAATATGTCACAGTGGCCTTATGAATATCTTAGGCGGAATGTTGCTAGCTGTCTGCTTCAGTATTGATATAAATAATTTCGTTTTGAGAAATATAAGTTCGAGTTTCTGCCGCATGTACATTCCCATAATGATGGTGGTTTTCCAAAATCCAACTTTGTTGTTCAGCATCTTGAACTAGCCATCTCTTCGAGGAATTTGGGAAAGTATCCTGGGTTTGCATTTCAATTATCTTAACAAATTAAGATAAAACTTTGAGTTTACATTTGCTGTTTATGCCTTAATCGAGTCTGTTTGTGCTGCTGGTATACCTTGATTTGGTTGATGTGGCTGATGCGGGAATGTAATAGCTCATGCAATGTACACTTTCAGAAAAATAATGCTCTCAAATGTGATTGTCTCAGCATTTCCCTTTTGGCACGTTCATACATGTCAGGGGTGGGATTGCCAACTTACACTTCTGATCGAAACTAGGAAAGAAAGGATCTGGCTGACTGATAAAACTCCGCAGAGGACTGATAAAATTACTAGACATTGTATACTGAACACGAATATATCATCTATGGCATTTCAAGCTGTGTGAATACTCACCTATTAATTCATAACTCATAATTTACGAACACTTAACAAAGATATAAGTTAGATAATTCATCATACAAGATCTAACGAGTTATCCATGAGAGCCAGTCAAAAAAGAACCACATCCTAAACCTTATGCTAAGCTGCTGTGTGCTGTATTATAGCTTTTGCGAGTTTCGTATTTTGTTATTTTTTGTACAAGATCTAACAGAGTTATCCATGGTGAAGTGTGTTATTCGTATTTTGTTATTTTTTGTACCTTATTCAGACGGATTGTTCTATTTCTGTTACTAGTAAAGTGCACGTGGGATGCAAATGTTTCATGGTTTATATTTTCGTTTGATTTTAATTATATATATTCTCGTTTATATTTTAATGGTCTATTCAAATTTTTGCATCGTTAATTTTAATTAATCAAACGAAAGAAGTACAATACATAATGAGTTGTATCAAATATATTGAAAGTTGAAATACAGTTTCAAATAATAATAGAAAATTCCATATTTGGTTCATGAACCTTTATTATCTAAGTTAATCGTTTTTGTTCAAAATTCTTTTTGTTTGGGGGGGAAGATTGAAATATATGTACATTATAACTAAATTGAAATAACTTACAAGAACACTTGCATTTTGTTTGGTGGGTTGCCGCTCTACCTCGCGTGGATTTCCTCAGAGCTTTGACTGGCCATGGCGGGCTTGGTGTCGTCAGCTTGCTGGTGGCTTTGCAGCTGTGGGTGCCGATGGTCGACTGGCTGCAGTCAGTGCTTGTGGACTCTGTCTCCCCGGCTAACTCTATGTTCACGTGTATCATCATTATTTTACATTGTTGTATTTGACAAATCTTAAAAGTGTTATTATTCACACCCTTGTATGATAGCAAAGTCCATTCTTCACGTTATACTACAAAATATTATAGTTAAAATTCAAATTTTTTTGAATTAAAGAAGAAAAATATTCAAATTGAATCACCCAAAATTTTCCTTGTTAAAAAGTGAATTGTACTTTAGGAAGTAGCAAAGAAATGACAATTGCTTGCAGACTCTTGGATTCCCGTCCCGTGTATACGTTTGATATAAAATTGATTTTGTGCCTATTACTATTGACTTTTCTCTGGATTTTATCATGTAAAAGGAGTTGGGAATCCCTCTCGCAAAAAAAGCCTGTCTCATTGCCTTGTTTCTCAACTTTGTATGCTATTGTAGTGTATTATATTACATCTTCCAGACAAAAAGTTGCTTTTTCCATTTCTCTTTTTCACCAGAAATTAAAATGTCCTCTTCTCCAATAAAGCTACTCAATCAATGGCTAGTTTGTAATGATAATGCCATATGTTATGAATGGGAAAAACAGTTCGATATTATGAATATCTAAAATATCTATAATCTTCTAATGTCTGCCTGAGTTTTCAAAATTCCTTTATCAATGCTATTTGAAAAAAAAAAAAAAATTGTCCCACATATATTTTCAATCACAAACACTCTAGGCAATCATACTTTATCACAAAAAATATATACTTATACTGTGAGTTGTCGTACTTTTATATTTACCATTAAAAAAGTATGACAATTAAAATTTTGTTGTTAAAATTTCGAGCCAAACTCAAGCCATGTCAAGAATCGCGTCGAGCTCCAGCATTCTTATTTTTTTAATGAGTCGAGACGAGCAGTATTTTGCATGGCTCGTCGAGCTCGAGCTTGAGTAGTGAAGAAAAAAGTTCGATCTGTGCTCGACAAGGTCCATGCTCGACTCGACTCTTTTGCAGCCCTATTAAGGAGTACAACCATGTGAATGACAATCACAATCAAAAGTTGGGACAATATTTAAAGAAGTCGGACCCAAGAACATGTGATACATGTAGCATTCACTATCTACCATCAGTGGAGCAATAACCGAGGAGTTTTAGACTTCTATAAATACAAGATTTGGAGGAAGTCTTTATAAATACAAGATTTGGAGGAAGCAAAAGACATCGTTTATCTCCTTCAATTTTCTCATTATGCAAATAATAATTGTAATAGTATTGTGAGTTGCGATAATAAGAAATTGTAACTGTATTATTTATGTAAGCTTATGTGTGTACGGGTGTTAGCATCTCATTATGAGAGGTTAAAAGGGTTTTTTTATACTAAAATGGTTGTTTATGGTATATTAATAAATTGATATGATACATGTATAGTACACAGGTACTTAAATATATTAATATTTATACAATAAAAAATAAAAATTATTTATATTTTTATTATGAAATTATGTATAATGAATACACAACAATTAACAAAGTAATAAATAATTCAATATGGAGTCCGCATTTTTCACTAAATTTATCAAAAATGGTATTTATTAATTATATTTTTTAAATTATATATACCTAAAACATATATTATTTACAACTCCATACATCTGATTCGAACAAAAAAAAAAGATTATTGTATTGTGATTATATTTTATATTTATAGAGTCGGTGTCTCTCGTTCATTAATTTTTTAAGTTTTTTAATTTTATATAATTTAATAATATAGAATATTAATTCATGTAGAAATATATTGTTTTATCAATTTATGAAATACAATTTTTTTTTTATTATATTTAGTTTTCATATCAATTTATATTTTATATTTTTAAATAACATAATGATGGGTCTCCTCTCAGATCTAGAGTGAACCGGTGGTAATGAGCTCAGATCTGCTTGAATCGCCTTCGAACTGTTGCTAGACCGCAACAACACCTGCAAGAACTCAACGCCGGAAGTGTTTCCAGCGTAGAGCCTCCGACGCTCAAGTCAATACGTGAAAGAGATGAAAAGAGGCTGCTCTGAGAGAGCAGCAGCAGCTATAGAGGAGAGTATGGAATGAACGGAAGTTAGGGTTTAGGGTTACCTCACCTCATTTATATAGGAGGAAACACTTACTTGGAGTACCCAAAATGCCCCGGTCGGTTTACTTGAAAGGTCTAAATTGCCCCGGTCGATTCGTCTCCTCCCATTGCTAAGTCATGACAAGATGCCCCCTTATCCACTTAGAGAGTAAGAGGCTTCAAGAGATATCACAAGTATGTTGAATCGTCAGTGCGTCTCGCATCTCGAGGTGCGAGAAGTCGACCTCGAGTACTGGGAGGTCGACTTAGGATTGTTTGAACATTCGGAGGCTACGCTGTTGTTGCTCTTCTTAAATAGAAGTCGACTTGCGTGGATTTCGCGTATCCTCGTGGTCATTCTATGGAGAGTCAAAATTTCAGAGGTCGATTTGGGCATGTCGACTGGAACATGTCGACGTGTGGGCGATCTGAGCAGTCGTCCGGTTGAGTAAGAGATTCCTAGACCGGTATATCACCTAGTCCCCCTCCAAAATTACTCTAAGCAGTCGATTGCTTAAGAGTAAATTTGGCGGTTGAGTGTCGTACCCATTTGATTTAAATGGCAATGTCCACTTATAGTTGTCGCGTTGATAACCCGTCTCGTCATTCGGCTGGGGTGCTTCTCAATCCGGCGTTATTGATTTTTAGATAAGTCTGACATTTCTGACATTCTTTTTGAATTTCAAATTTCAAAGCAACGCGTCACTTCACTTTCTGTCTCTTCAAATTCCGCACCTCATCCTGACCGTTGGATCTTACTTTGATCCGACGGTTGGTATTTCATCGTTCAAAGTATAAATAACTCCCCTCTGTGAAAAATCTCATTTTTCACGTTTCTTCAAACCCTCGAACTTTCTTAATCCTTCTCAAGTTTTCCGGCAACCGTAACGATCTTTGGCTTTACCAGCGTTTCCCTTTACCGGCGACTTCAAGCTTTCTCAAAGTTCAATTAATCAAGCCACCATGAGTAAGTTCACTGTTATCTCTTATCTCTCAACTTCCTGTCGATTTTTTCCTTTTTCAGTTTCTCTGGATTTTTTGGATTTGAAGCTCCTGTGTGTTCTTCGTGTTCTTCAAACTTTTTTCATGAATTTTGTGTTGAATCTTTTGTGCACATGTTTTGTTTGGATTCTTGTTTGCGTCTTATTGGTCGTCGACTTTTGACATGAAGTCGACTCTCGCATTTTGTTGAGTTGATTCCTATCGACTTAGCGGCCCTTATTTTGCTAATTCGCTTTTGACTTAGTTCTTTTTCTGCCCCTCTTACGTTTTCTCGCCTTTTCGTTAGATAGGATCCAATGCGTTCGTAATCTTCATACTTTACCGCCTTTCTGGTGGCTAGTTTGTTTCTGGGTTGGCCTTTACTTTTGGCCATTTTATGACGAGATGTTAGCAAGTCGACTTGTCCTCTAAACCAAGCATATTATCCCTCTGGATTTTATTCGCACTTTACTGATCTCGACTTTCTCTTTCTCCAATTTCTTAGCTTCCAACTGCGATTCTTCCCCTGATACGCTTGATCGTCTGATCGATGCAGACCATCAGTCATTTGATTCAATGCAATTCGTCGGGTTCAAGTTGGCTGCCGAGTTGTCAACTTCTTCTTCTCACGCCTCTGTTTCAAAAGTCGACTGGGGTGAATATGACCAAGCTCTTTTACAGGGCGGCTTGGTAGATGTCTTGAAGAACCCCACTCGAGGGAGCCCTCCTCGTCTCGACCTCATTCCTCGAGGTATTCCTCTTAGGTTCTTAGATATTCCTGTATATAGAACAAGTCTTGTGTCTGTACCAATAATTACTCCTCTTCTCGAGTCCCAGAATGTTGTATCTTTAGCTTGCCCTTTGGCTTGGTTAGCGGTTCTTAACCCCTTTTCTTATGCCTCTACAGTCGAGATTGACGGCTTTAGAAAATTTAGTGGGCTCCCCTCTGATTGGGAGTTGGTCGCCCCTGGTCCTGACAACGATTTTGCTCATCCTCCTCCCGACTGTCACACCTTCTTTATCGACTAAGTCGTGTTCGGTCTTCGCTTTCCCATCCAGGACGAACTTTTGTTGATTAGCATCCTGTATAATGTACCTATAAACCAATTCTCTCCTAACGCCATTCGCATTATGATAGCTTTCATAGCCGTCTCCCGAATAATACTTCACTTCTTCTCGCCCGGATTTTTCTTTTATTGCTACGGCTATAGACTCGTCAAGGGCGCCCATTGCCTAGGTCGCCGGTGTTACTTTCCTTGACGATCTCTCGTCGAATGTCACTGAGTGGAAGTCGAAGTATGTCTTCATTCGACCCGCTTTCAGCATGTATCCTTAAGTAAATACTTGGATTACTTCCAAAGTGAAACAAATAAACGACCTCGCTCCGATCAGTTCGCCATGCTGTTGAAAGAGCTCAATAAACACACATATAGTGCTCGTCAATTAATCAAAGACCGTGAATTGGTCAATCATGCCCGAATCGTCATCTACGAGGATCTTCCTCGTCTCGATGATCCCTGTAAGCTATTGCTATTTCTTTTCATGAAGTCGACTTCGTGTTTTGATTACTTGCATTGCGCTTGCTGACTGTCTCTTGTTTGATTGCTAACTGTCTCTTGTTCTATTGCAGTTAAAGCACTTAAGCGCTTCGAGGTAAAAAAGAAGCAGCCGAATGAGAAGTCGGCCGGTGGATCTGTTCCTCCTCCTCCTCGACTCGAGAGTGGATCTGGGTCGAGGCCCGCCGCTGCAGCAGCCGAGACAACTGCTGCGAAAAAGTCTAGGGTCGAGAACCCTAGTGCTGCCAAGCAGCACAAATCGTCAGGCTCTGGTTCCCAGAAGAGGGGTCAAGACGACAGGGTTGTCGTCCTGATCCCTGACGACCTTAAGCGCCGAAAGGTCGATAAGGGCAAGGGCAAAGCGGTCGAGAGGACTCCCCGTTCTCCGGACACTGTCAAGGATGTGACGGTCAAAATGCCCTCCCGACTCTGGAACCACCCCGAGCCGCACAAGGTGGCTAAGTATTTCAACTCCCTCATCCCCAAGGCCGATAAAGATCACGTCGAGGGGAATCTTTATGAGCGTTCAAATTACGCTATCCAATGCCTCTCTCGGGTACTTTCCCTATCTTTTAGTTGACTTAGTATTTCATCGAATACGGCTTTCCGCAGAATTCTATATGTATCTATGAGATCGAGTATGGAATTCTGTTTATATCAGATAAAAATTTTGAAAACTTGGCGCAAACTGGCGAATCACTACGGTTTTTTTTTCCTTTGCAGGAAGAAAAAAGGGCAGAAATTCAACGCGAGGGAGGTAATCAAAAAAGAAAGAAGATGCGGTATATCATTTGTGTGTATACACTTAACAAAACAAAAGGACAGCAGGAAGGAGGAAAAGAAAGAAAAAAAAGATCCGGTCTTACTCCTTATGCAGGCACCAACCGGGAGGGAATGCTTACAGTTTGTTGGCCAATTTAAAGCAAATTGGCCAACAAAGAAAAGCGAAATGGAAAAAATAGAAAGGAAAGGATGAATTGATAGCTCTCCAAGGTCGAATCGATTGGCTGAAAGGCTTGAAAGAGAACGTGGTTTAGCTCTCCCTGAAGGGGAGGAGATCCAGCCGCAACTTCCATTACGGCTACCTTGTTACGACTTCACTCCGGAACTGAGACTAGTTCTAAATCAAATACTAAGTCTAAATGAAAAATTTTTAGACTTAGTATTATTATTATTTTTTTTGCTTTACTTTTTTCTCATCAATTTTCAATGTTCTCTTGCAATTTCTGGCTGCGGCGCTTCCTTGTCTCGAGGGAGTAAGGCTCCCGCTGTCTCCATCAAGTCCCTCGAGGACAAGTGTAAGGCTCAGCGCCAAGAAATCGAGGCGCTGAAAGCCGACAAGGCCGTGGCTCAGCACTTGACAAGCTTAAGGGCGACCTCGAAAAGGCCCGCGATGAGTGCGTAGTCGAGAGAGAGAATGGCATCGAGGTGGGGCGCAGGACCTTCTTGAATTCCCCTATGGACGCTATCTTTCTCGAGACCGATCGCCAAGAGGTTGTCTGAGCCTTCTGCAATTCCCCTGCATTCCTCGACAAGCTCTGCCCCGCCACCCTCCAATATTTCGAGCACACTTTCGCAGCATGGGAGGCTGTGGTGGCAGGGTCTGAATTCGCTGGCAAACTCGACCGCAAGGAAGTCAAGGCGACGCTCCCCGACCCCGAGGGTTATGAGGGTGACGAGTCTCTTCCGGATGACTATCCGTGGTGGTCGGGACTCGAGGCTTGGGCCATTCGCAAAGCTGGCCTGAGCGTGCAACTCGAGGTACTCTTCACCCCCTTGGTTGGTCCGACCGCACTAGTCGGGCCAAGTAGGGCTAGTCACGAGGAGGAGGTTGAAGACCTGGATGTCGAGCAGCAGGGGACCGAGCCGCTTATTGACGGGGATGCTGAGAGGAGGGGTGAGGAGGATGCTGAGAAGACTGCCATTGTCGTGGAAAGTGGGGACGAAACTGCTGAGAAGTCGGATGTCGAGTCTTAGCAGTGTTATTTATTCTGGGGTTGTGCCGTATTTATTCTTTTGAAGTTGTTTTTCTTTCGAGTTATTTCTAGGATGTTTGTCGCTCTCGACCTGTTTTAAAGGCTTGTGAAGGTCGAGGCGATTCTGATTGTAAAGAAACTCTCTTTTACCAATATTATTCTATCTTTCTTTCTCGTTCCTTGTCTTTGCATCATATTGTCAATTTCTTTTCATTCTCAAGTTGTTGTGAATGCTTGTGTGCTATGTTGATTCGTTATTGTTTAGCTTTAAGCCTCCTGCATTGATCCTATTATTCCTTTATATATCTTCTCCCAAACCTTTCTTGCAAGCTGGTTGAAGTCGAGCAAGAGTTTTAGCAGCTTCATAGCTGATAATCGTAAGTTTTTCAACTCGTCTTCTCCCTAACCCTTCTTGCGAGCTGGTCGAAGTCGAGCAAGGGTTTTAGCAGCTTCATAGCTGATAAACGTAAGTTTTTCAACTCGTCTTCTCTCCAACCCTTCTTGCGAGCTGGTCGAAGTCGAGCAACGGTTTTAGCAGCTTCATAGCTGATAAACGTAAGTTTTTCAACTCATCTTCTCCCCAACCTTTCTTGCGAGCTGGTCGAAGTCGAGCAACGGTTTTAGCAGCTTCATAGTTGATAAACGTAAATTTTTCAACTCGTCTTCTCCCCAACCCTTCTTGCAAGCTCGTCGAAGTTGAGCAACGATTTTAACAGCTTCATAGCTGATAAATGTAAGTTTTTTTAACTCGTCTTCTTCCCAACCCTTCTTGCGAGTTGGTCGAAGTCGAGCAATGGTTTTAGCAGCTTCATAGTTGATAAATGTAAGTTTTTCAACTCGTCTTCTCCCCAACCATTCTTGCGAGCTGGTCGAAGTCGAGCAACGGTTTTAGCAGCTTCATAGCTGATAAACGTAAGTTTTTCAACTCGTCTTCTCCCCAACCCTTCTTGCGAAGTGGTCGAAGTCGAGCAAAGGTTTTAGCAGCTTCATAGCTGGCTTGATACGCTTTGTGCGGGTACTTCATAGTTGTTGTAAGTCGAGTTCATAAGATGATTGGGGTCCTGTTCTAAGTGTTTAACTTCGCAATTGTTGACATCGACTTCGTAGCCGTAGGCTTCGTAGCTTGCGCGAAATTCCACTCGAGAGCACAACTTTGTAGTTGTGTTAATCATCTTCATAGTTGTAGGCTTCATAGCCTGCTCGAGATTCCACTCGAGAGTATAACTTTGTAGTTGTGTTAGTCGACTTCATAGTCGTAGGCTTCGTAGCCTGCTCGAGATTCCACTCGAGAGTACAACTTCTTAGTTGTTTAAATCGACTTCGTAGTCGTAGGCTTCGTAGCCTGCTCGAGATTCCACTCGAGAGTACAACTTTGTAGTTGTTTAAATCGACTTCGTGGTCGTAGGCTTCGTAGCCTGCTCGAGATTCCACTCGAGAGTACAACTTCGTTGTTGTTTAAATCGAATTTGTAGTTGTAGGCTTCATAGCCTTCTCGAGATTCCACTCGAGAGTACAACTTCGTAGTTGTGTTAGTCGACTTCGTAGTCGTAGGCTTCGTAGCCTGCGCGAGATTCCTCTCAAGAGTACAACTTCGTAGTTGTTTAAATCAACTTCGTAGTCGTAAGCTTCGTAGCTTATTCGAGATTCCACTCGGGAGTTAATCGACTTCGTAGTCATTAAGAGTTAGTCGGCTACATAGCCGTTTTGAAAATTTCAAATTTTCAGATAATCATAATAAGGTCGATGTGTAAATGTAAGAGACATACTTAAAGCAGAAATTTGAAATTCATTTCATTACTGAATTTGATTTGAACATTGTTCAGTACAAAAGGGGGGTTTGAAACGTTGCCTTAAGCGTAAAAGCGTTTGAGATGGATCACGTGCCAGGATCGCGGCAGTTGCGACCTTCTCCATCCTCGAGTTCATATGCACCTCTCTCGAGCACCTTTGTGATAGTATAGGGTCCCTCCCAATTAGCTTCGAGCTTCCCGACATGCTTGAGAGAGTCGGCTCATTTGAGGACGAGATCCCCCACTTGGAAACGTCTGGTTCTGACCTTCTTATTGAAAGTTGCCCGCATCTTTTGCTTATATTCGATGGATCGTACCCAAGCTTCTTCTCGCCCTTCTTCAATCAGATCGAGGGCTTCCTCGATCATCTTCTCGTTTTTCTTTTCTTTGTAGAATGTCAACCTGTGAGAATTCAAGCCGACTTCTACTGGCAGGAGTGCATCCATTCCGTAAACTATGTGGAATGGAGATTGACCTGTTGAACTTATCGGAGTCGTCCTATAGGCTGATAGGACTGCGGTTAACTCGTCAACCCAGGCTGTTGAGGCCTTCTCCAATCTCTTCTTTAGTCCTTGGAGAATAGTTCTGTTAGTTACCTCGACTTGCCCATTCACTTGTGGATGTGTGACTGAGGCAAATCGCTGTTTAATGCCCATGTCGAGGCACCATGGTTGGATCCGTTTTCCTTGTAATTGAGTTCCGTTATGTGAAATTAATACTTTCGGAATTCCAAATCAGCAACAAATGTTGTTAAATAAGAACTGGATCATTTTCTCCTCCGTGATTCGGGCCAAGGGTTCTGCTTCGACCCACTTGCTGAAGTAGTCGACTGCGACCACTAAGAACTTCATTTGTCCCGTTCCCATCGGCAACGGGCCTACCAAGTCGATTCCCCATTGAGCAAAGGGGATTGGACAGTTAATTGTCGTCATGGTTTCAGTTGGTATGTGAGGAATTTGACCATGACGCTGGCATCTCTCGCATTCTCGCACTAACTGTTCGGTCATCTTTCGGATTCTTGGCCAATAATAGCCGGCTCGCAGGGCCTTGCCTGCCAGAGCTCGAGACCCCGCGTGTGCTCTGCAGCATCCTTCGTGAATTTCTTCTAGGACATAACTTCCTTCTTCTTCTTCTTCAGAAACGCATCGCAGGTGGGGCCCGACCAATGACTTCTTATATAAGACCCCCTCGACTTCAAAGTATTTGCACAGATATCGAACAACTTTTTCCTCCTCTTGCTTGTCTCCTACAGGCACTCGAACTTGCAAAAATTCACGAATCGACTTTCTCCAATCGTCTTTCTCGCCGATCTCTATTGCTTCGCCCAAGACACTTCCTTCTAAGTGCATGGTGGTAATGTGATTTTCCATCTTTCCTTCATTTGAACTCGCGATTCTTGCGAGCCAGTCGGCTCGCTTGTTTTCCTCTCGTGGGATTTGTGTTAGCTCAAATTTCTCCAAACCTTGTATGAGGCTCTGAATCTCCTCGACATATTTCAGCATTCGATCCTCCTTTACTTCACAATTTTCCAACACTTGTCCCACGACGAGTTGTGAATCAGAATGTGCCATGATCTCCGTGGCTCCCCCACCAATTGCGAGTTGAATTCCTTTGATAAGTGCCTCGTATTCGGCTTCATTGTTTGAGGCCTTGAACCCCATTCTGATGGCAAAGTCGAGCTGCTCGCCCTCGGGAGATACGAGGACGACTCCCAAACCAGATCCCTTGGCCGCAGAGGATCCATCGACATGCATCATTCACTTCTTTTCTTCTCCCTTAGTGCATTCTTGGATAAAGTCTGCCAAAGCTTGAGCCTTTATGGCTCGTCTGGGCTCATATTTGATGGAATATTCGCTCAACTCGACTGCCCACTTCACAAGTCGTCCTGAAATAGTAGGTCGACCCAAGATTTCTCCGAGTTGGAAGTTTGTTCTCACCACTATTGTATGATTTAGAAAATACGGCCCTAACTTTCTAGTCGTTATCACCAGCGTTAAGGCAGCTCTTTCGACTTCGGAGTATCTCATCTCCGCACCATGGAGTACTCGACTAGTCTAATAAATCAGTTGCTGGGAACCTCCTTCTTCTCGCAATAACAACGAACTTAAAGAAACCACTCCCACCGAGATGTATAACACTAATTCGTCACCAGGCTCAGGTTTGGTCAACAAGGGCAACTCGCTCAAAAACTCTTTCAACTTTTCAAACGC